CTCGCTCGCTTGCTTGCTTGCTTGCTTGCTAGGCGTTTGGGGTCGGGGGAACCCCCCTTCCCCTGCGCTCACGCGCTACGCCGTTGTCCTGTGTCGTTCGTCGGCGTGAAACTTCAGAGAGGATCGGCACAGAGGAGTTCCAGGCCCTTCCCGTTTCCAAACCCTGGACCTCAAATTGACCCTCAAATGAACACGCCCCCGCCTGGTCCTCAACGCTGGTGCCGAGCCCCTCTTTGTGTTGTGACTCCCCGCTTTATTCCCGGACATTGCCGGGGGCAGCAGTTTAGAGGGTGTCGGTGGGGTCCCCTGTTGTCGGAGTACCGAAGGAAACAGATGCACACAGGAAGTACAGGCTGGGTGAACTAAGGTTTTCTCAGGGGTCCCCTTGCTCACAGACTGTGTTCCTCTACAGTTTGTGGCCTATGCTGTGAAGTGCTGGCAGGGTCCCCGTTGGGAAAGCAAGCTAAACGCACTAGAAAGGCTAGGGGGAACAAGCACACACATAGGGGAGGTTCCCTGCCGGTGGAGGTTGTGCTGTGGAATGAGCCGGTGCCTTGGGCAGGAAGCAAAGCGGGTAAGGTCCAGGGGCACTAGGGGAACATCACAAACATAGGCCCCGGCTCAGTTTCCTGCTCCTACCCCGACGCTTCACTTGCACTTGCGGCGTGTATAAAAATACCCCTAGCGACTCTCTCTCTCTTTCTCTCTCTCTCTCTACCAGGCATGGGGGTCAGGGTACGCTCTCTCTCTCTCTTCTTCCCCAGGGCATAGGGGGCGTGTCAGACTCCCCGGCCTATTGGCCCTCTCTCGCTCTCTCTCTGTCTGTCTCTCACACACACTCTCCCTCTCTCTCTCTCTCTCTCTCTCTCTTTCTCTCTCTTCTTCAACTCAGCCAAAGGAAGAGCCGGCAAGCCCTCCCCTGCGCACGCATGCGCACTGGTGCGTCTGAGTCTTTCTTTCGGAAGGGATATGGGCAAAGGAAAATTCCCCTTGTCCGGTGTGGAGGCCAACTGTGAAAACGCTTGCAACACCGAGGCAATATGCGTCTGAGTCTCTGTCTCTCTTCTTTCTTTCTTTCTGTAGGGCATAGGGGTCGCATGTTTGCGACCCTCAGGCCTTCGGCCCGCCCCCCCACCCTTTGTTTTATTGAGTGGGAGGCATTGGGGTCATAATGACTGCTGCACAAGAGTACCTAGCTCTGTCTCTCTCTCTCTCTCTCTCTCTCGCTCTTCCAAGCCTGTGGAGGTATTCCGCCGTAGACGTGTGGCCCTGGGCAGGCACGACGCAAAAGCTTGGAATTGATGGGCAACGAAAGTCTCAAGAGATGACAAGTTCATAGCGGCCCAGTTTCGCGCCCGCCCACGGACACTCTCCTTGCAAGGTTTGGGCCTGTCGTTAAATGTATTCAACCCCGCATCTTGCTTTCCGGAATGCTTCGAGCTTAACGGCGAATGCACGAGACACAACAACCCAGCAGTGCGTGTTGGCAACAGCAGGGTAGCAAGCGCAAAGATGATGCAAGGCACGTTTCGGCCGAGAAGACAACAGTCCAGGTGGTTCGAAAGATGGCTGAGGCACCGTACAATTCAAACCTGAGAGCCTTCGTTTGCTGCCTTGAATTGGTGCATCCTGCACATTTTAGCTGTGTCTTGAAGTCTGTTTCAATCTATCGGATGCAAAACCCTCCTCTCGCACTTTCTCGTGCCTTTTGCAAACCCATTTGCCATGTTTTGTCATCGACCTTTCTGCAAGAGCAAAAGACCGTTGATCCCGTTGCATATTGAATATTGCAACAACCCGGATCTTTTCGGTCGACATTACAGCCCAAGCTGCAAACGAATGCCGTGGAGTTCGTGCTGACATCCTTCGTTCCGACCGGCTTGGCCTGCACGAGGAGACTCTGCAAAGGTCTTAAATTCAGGTAGGGCCCTCTCTGAACAAAGGCAAGACTGCTTCTCGTCACTGCGTGAGGGCCACAAGATAAGAAGAAGCGGGACTAGGCAACCTGCGAGACATAGAATTGGGAACGCCCGCCGAGCAAGAACTGCCAAATGATACAGAACGCTAGGTCCTCTCTGATGGTAGGAGCCTGTCTACATAACAGTCACATGCGCAAGCCGATGCGCAAGCCGAGCCCAGGCCGACACTCCACTCCAAGGCCCAGCGCCTCCTCGTCTCGAGTAATTATGCCAAGTTTTCGCAGTGCGGTGCGTCGAAAGCAGAGGCAAAGCCAGTCTCCATCCACATCCTTGAGGCTTCAACTCCACCGACAGCACGCTTCGGACATACTCGGATGTCTACGACGGGAAGAAATGGACATGCCAACGATGCAGATTGAGGAAGGGAGTGAATGGTAATTCATTCTACATGAGCCAGGCACTTGATCAGCACTATGCCGCCGGCTTCGCGGGCTGAGCTGTTGGAACCCTGTTTCGCACCACATACGTTAAAACCCTCGTGCGTCCTGGGTGTGTGCCTGGGTGCAGTCTGACACCCCCATCTCAGGTCAGAACACGTTCTGAAGTTGATGCGATGGAAGTTGATGCGATGTGACCCTCATAAATCACGACATTTTTCGGTTCAGCTCCGGTTGAATTCAATTGGGCGTACCCCAAAACCGGCGGCAGAGTGACGGCGACGCTCAACAGGAAAACACTCTTCCACCAAAGAAGGACTTCCATGTAGCTGCAATGGAAGCACAACACTGAGAGACCGCTCCTCATGCTGGATTTAGTACTTGTTGCTTTCTGGGCTCGACTTGCCGGTGCCAACTTTTCCTCTCAACCGAGACTCCTGGTAGAAATGATTGGCCGTTTCCAGTAGCCGCGAGGGAATCGCAGTGGCATGCCTGAACTCCATTGGACTGAGCAAGGCAGCAGGCTCAGCAAATTTGCTAAGTCAGACGAGACACGTGAAGCCGTCTGCATCGAAGGTCGGTGGAAAGTATGCCTTAGCAATTTCGCCCCAGCCAAGCCGTAGCAAGATGAAAGCCTTGACAGCCAAGAGTCGGCTGCCGCAGTCTTGGCTTCATCCCACAGCGACTTGAGACACCTCAGATTGAAGTTCCGAGGAATTAACAGATGCCGACCTAACAACAACCCTGTGCACTTCCAGTCGAAGCACATGTGGTAGAGGACTTCCTTGGGTTTGACACACAGTGATGCACGGTTCATGTCAATGTAACAAGTGCCCTGCACCCTGCGACAGAGGCTTGGCACCTGTACGGCCGACCCTCACTATGTATAGCGCTTGCATCCGAATTTCTGAAGCATCGGCGTCCGGCACGTTTCCTTGCTGATAACCGCCGCGTCCTGCACTTTGCAACATTTCGAGCGCCGATTCGGTTGAGGGATGGAACTCGTGAACCGACAGGATACGACAGGTCGGGTCTCTCGAAAGACTACCTCGGCTTCGTCAATTTAAAGATTGGCTGTGCGCTGCTCGACTCTATTCATCTCTCTCTTCCCAGAAGTCTTGCTGGATACCCGAAGTTGCCAATTCGAAGATAGCATCGCTTGATCGCAAGAACCAACATGCGAGCCGCCGAGCATCGCCAAGCCATGACAGACTTCGAGAGATCGCCGCGAGATGCGAACGGCAATGGCAACGGTGCACTGACTGCGGACAGTGATGGACAGTGCATGGATGTGCGTGGCGTCCTCCATGCAGCTGCTCCAGTCGCACGCTGACTGCACCTTGGCCGCTGTGACATGCTGTCTCCTCAGAAGCCTGGGCTTCCCACCTTCTGCCTCCTCGCGGATACAGCGGTCCGGGCGGAAAGCTGGAAGACAGACCTCGGAGTTTTGCTGAGCTTGTGCCATATGCACCGCTGCAAGCTTCGAAGACAAGCTGCCGGGATATACTCTGTGGCACCATCAGGGAAAGTCGGCCGGAACCGCTCCCCTGCAGTCAGTCTACATGAGTCTAGATGCCACCAGTCTTTGGAAAGGTTCGCGGAGTCTCCAAGTCTGCCTTTCTCGATGAAGACTGTTTGGCCTGCTAGGACCTGCCAGCATATCGTGATGTCATCAAGTTGACATGGCTTACTTGGCACCTTTGCACCCATGGGCAATAGTCAACCATTTCGTCTGAAAGCATTGCTGTACTTCCCTTGTCCAATTAACTACAACCAGGTGTTGAACTCTAGGGCTATGCTTGCAGTCTGTTGATGTATTTCTGTAGTTGTTGAGCGACTTCTTTGCTTGCATTCTTTCCTTTCTACTTAGATTACATGAGCTATCATGTGGCTCATCATTCGCAGCAAGCACCGGACTGCTCAGATTCAGAACATCTCGTGCCTTCCAACTTGTTTTTACCTTTGCCAAGCAAAAATGAACGATAATGAACCTAAGTGACTTTGATGCTGTAGTCACTGCAAGCTTTGACTCCGAACGTCAAACCAAGCTTGCCCGCTGTGGACAGCAAACTCTTTAGGAAGTATGCTTTCCACACTGCCTATACGGCGGATGCTTCTGAATTTCAGAGTTGTTGCATGAAGAATGATAACATGCACGACGAAGGACGGAGATTAAGCAGGTCATGTAGTTGAACCTAGACTCTTTGGTCAAGCGCTGTGCTATGAGGAACGAGGGAAGCGCAGGCAGATGGAAGCAGGAACATCATCTATGTTCTTCTTGCCGGACACCAAACATGTTGGTCTTGGTCGGAAGGCGGCACTAAGACGGAAATGAAAGATGTGCAGGGGAACAGCAGATATCATGCGTTGTCCCTGGTCGGAAGTGGCAATGAGGCAGGCAGAAAGACGGAACTGCTACAGAAATCTGGCTTTGACATCTGGATTTGGTCTCTGCATGAAGCGGGCTGCTGTGGGCAGTGCAGCGCCTCCAGACTCTCACCAGATCCATGCAGCAAGACCTTGAAGGCAAGGCTTCGAGACTTATCCCCGGCGATTCCCCCGTAAATCTCATTCCAAGGCGTGCGCTAGCACTGGCCCCACTCAAACCACAAGAACCCCCCTGGCCAAGGGCTCAGGCGAGGCGGCCTTTGAGCACCTCAAAGGCACGGCGATGCGAAGACCCGACGGCATGGCGATGGCTGCTTGCAGCCGGTGTGGCACACATCCACTCGTCGTAGTGCAGCGTCAGCCAGGGCTCACTGGTGGGCTCCGCTACCTGGAAAAGCAGACTCGTAGACTGCGTAAGGCGACCCCATGTCTTGGCATGCTGTCGCAGCTCGAGATGTTGTTGGGGCTGATTGTGTTTTCGGGTCAAGCTCACGAGAGCAAACATCGTACATGCCGCGTCATCTCCAGGTCAGTAGAGGTCCCACCTTGACCAGTGCAATGCTGATTCGGTCGCTTTTGCTTGCCACATTCCCAGCCAACTCGTCGATGGTCCTTGGACAACTGACGCAGTTCAAAACCACTTCGCTGAATCTGTCTACAGCATGCAGCGGAAGCTTGATCATGCGATATGTACAACACATGTCCCTCGCGTGCAGCGTTAGTTCGGTGCTCCCTGCGAATCAGCTGATCCTTTCGGTTTGCATTCCTATCAGTGTCTAGACCACCAAGTCCTGCCATCCTAGCCACCTGACACAATGAAACGCTGCGCTAAGTCAGCTGAAAACAAAGATCACACGACATCAACTTTTTTCAGGATATGCTCCCATTATCCAACACTGACAGGCTGACAGGTTACATTAAACTTTGGAGACTGAAACGTAGATGTAGACAATTAGAAGGGTTTGAACTACGTAACTACGTTTGCAATGAGTCCATGTCGTCAATCATATGAGTGATATTCGGGCAAAATAGGACACGGAAGGAGCTGAGCTTCTTATTTGGAAGCTTCCCGGCCTCCACAAATCGCACAAAAGAAGAAGAGCAGGCAAAACACCCAATTATCCTCAGACAATATTTCTTGTCCTGGATTTCCTTCCGTGCCTTCAAAAACACCCAACACAAGACGTTAGGATGCCAGACTTCAAGATTCAACATGGGTACATGTTGTGGCACAGGCTCAATGAGATATAAAGGGTGCACAACGGCCGCGGGACCATACCAAGTGTCAACTGCTTCCTGTGTGCCGTGTCTGCATGTTTGGCTTGTGCGAATGGTAGAAGAGCAAAGAACAAAACACATGGAATCGCCATCCGCGACATCATCGTTGTCGTTGTCATTACCATCATCATTATCAGCTATCATGATCATGTCATACGCAAAGTCACCTGCAGTCGTTCGGATCATCTTCTGAGTATTGCTCGTTCTTTTGCGGCTCGTCATCGTTACCGTCCTCATTGTTTCTTTCTTCCACACTAGATTCGGGAAAGAAACTGTTCACTGTTCGCTGGAGAATCAAGATCCATCAATCATCATCACTGATCCAGAACGCAACAAGCCACGACGCCTCAACATGCAACTAGCTTTGTCGACGCTGTCTTTACAAGCTGAAGTCTTGTACTTGCTTGGCCAAGCATGCTTGGAGGTTTGCTCGCTCCTGACAAGCTGGAGTCTTGTGCATGCTGGATGCTTGTCAATCGTGAGCCCTCGGTGTATGAAGCCTAGCCCCGCGCCCTGTGCTCTCGCCACACTCCTAACCACACCATGGGAGAAGCTGCTGTCTGTTGTGGTTCCAGTTTTACGTTGCGGCTTGGCGATCGTTGTCTGCACTGGATACGGATACTCACTCGCTCATACTCACTCAAGAGTCATCTCCACCGCCTATATACATCATCTGCTCCGCAATGTCGGGGCTACAAGTACAGCGATTTGCCCACAGAACAACACAAACACCACCCAACCCAACAGGCCGCGGCCCGTTCCCCTCGCCCCGCCAAACCCGAAAGCCCAGATCCCAACATTCTGGCTTACCGTTCAGACCCCAGCCTAACATCGATGCACTAAGCTTGAAGGGGCGGCTTCAGAAGTAAATTCTGGAACCTCAAGAATCACAGAGCGATCGAAGCGGTTCAACCTGGAAGGGTTCTGTCCAGGAACAGCTTTCCAGTGTCCACGACCCTCGCGGCATCACCCACCAGCCGTGGCATGGCGACCGTAGTCTCAAAGAATAAAATGCAACTCCTATGTGGCAACAAGCTTGGCTAGCGCCGCGAAGCAAACCCATGAAGTAGGCTACACAATGGCTCAGGTCCAGCGCGCATCGTAGCAATAAAAGGTGCAGACATGCAAATGGCGCTATCTTTGCAAACAGACTTGGCACAGTGGACAAGTTTGAGCCAGACTGTGATGTCGGAAACTTGCACATCTTGCCTAGCTGCCAACCTGACTGTTTGGGGAGGGTGAGGTTCCGGCTGTAAACTTCAAGTGGTAACACGCATCTTGCTGCTGTCCTTTCTACAACTCTGTAACAACATTCGAGGAAGCGCGAAGCACCTTGAACAAGAACACTCAGAATCCCAAAGGGACAGTTCAATTTCTAGTCATCTAGTCTCACATCTCACGTCTGTTCCTACAAGGAACTGTAGGCGACCACGCATCTGAGATTAAGCGTGTGAGCAGCGACATGTTCAAGGCCTCCTGTGTATTTACTGCCCGCGACCTACATAAGACCTGAGCTTGTCCCCAGATAACAAGTCTGATGCAGCACATGGCAGTAACTGTGCATCTGTTTCTTGGAGCATGGTCGGATGGACAATGTCAACGATTTTGTACAGTGGCAACCAGCATGAAGGCCTTAGGTGTGGCAGTGCACACAAGGGACACACGGCCATTGGATTTTCAAAGCATGCCTGGACAGATGGATGGACGTAGCGCAGGGGATAGAGGCGGGCATGGGAGAGATGATGAGTGTTGACTCATCTGGACGCTTCGTTACTGGGCACTGTCCAATGGCAGGGCATGCTATAGGAAGACAAGAGGCTTGGTTCACTCCAATGTACGGCATCAACAGCGTCAGCAAAGGCATGGCAATCATCCATGCAGGTCCCAGCCACTTCAATACGCCGGTAACCTTGCGAAACACACCACTGGTGCATGTGCTGTGCCCCGGTCCCAAAAGTGAATGCACGGCAGGAGGCTAGCTCATTCAGGATCAAATCATGAATCAGACGCTCCCACCATTCCCAAGTCGTCAATGCCTGCCAAACTGGGGGAAGCCCATCTGCAGGCTTGGGGCTAGGCCTAGGCATGTTGGGCAGGGTCTTCCGAGAGACAGTGCTTGCGTCGCTCTACGCCACCAACGGGAAACCATCTGCAGTGCCATGCAAGGCTGGCCTGGTACCAAGAGAGAGAGTTCGCCTTTGCGGGCGTCATTTTCGTCTCGCCGACCCAGAGATAAGCGCAGGGATGCAGCACATCCAGCGCAATGACCGTCACGATAATCAGCGAGGAAAGCCCGCCTCTGAGAAGGCAAGACGTGGCAAGCCAGAGCGGCAGCGTGCGGCACCGTGCATGCCGTTGAGGCCAGGCCGTGCCTTCGTCTTGTGTCGGCTTGACGTTGTAAAAGCAGATCCAAGCAGCGATTGCAAGGATCTCGAGCAAGAGGGTCCAGTATTTCACTAGGTGGACAGCGATCTTTCCCGATGCCTCGTTAACCTCAAGTCCGACTCTCGTCGCTGAAACGACCCCATTCTCAACGAGAAGCTCAGGCAGTGACTGTCACGTCCTGGCCATAGAGCTGGAAGTTCATCAAATCTTGAAGGCCCTCCACCATGGAGTAAATCACCAGCGGGGCAGTGATGTAATATCCTTGTAAGCATCTGTATTACAAGCTCTGATACGGGGTTGGGGCCCGCCAACGGCAGCTCGAGGTCTCTTCAGAACCCTAGGCACTGTCCAAACAGGGCGGCATCAACACCCCAGGCTTGTCAGAAGCGCAGAGCCTAAGAAACATTCCAGGCGCAACTTGAGGCTCGCAGAGCCAGAGTCAGTCCCAAATGTGAACCAAATTATGGCGGGCGCACGACCGTCCCAGCACGTGCACCACACTGCAGCGGGAATGCGCGTCCGCGAGACTGTGGCATGAGCACGATTTTTGGCGGTTTCCGTGTCAGGCAGTCTGACACTGGAGTCCCCAACAGCCTTATGGGGTGGACTCTCGAGACTTCGATCGACCTGAGGACCAACATGAGCACGGGATGTGGTGGCAGCACGATTTCCAGCCGAAGACATCCCAAAGTAGACACGGCACCATGGCAGGAGCACACGGCAGGAGCGCCAGCCATCAAATCTGGGACAGAAAAGGGCGTAACAACGGACTCGGCCTCCCCGGAGGATATACCGTGAGACTGTGGAAGGAACGCGATGTTTTAGACGGAAAATCTGCTACACTGCCAGCCACGATCCAATTCCTTACGGATGTTTGGACCATCGTCATCGTGCTTGTTTGGCGGACGACACAAGTTAGGGCAGCGCGATGGAGCTATCGTCCTTAACGCTGTTGCCAGAAGCAACAGGCTCAACTTAGCTTCAGGTGGTGTCGCCGGCGTCGGATTCAATTTTGGCCTGGGCCTCAAAACTTCTCCCGCCTCCCGAATGAGCTGCTATGTCGTCCCCTTTCCAATCTACCATTTTCCAACTACCTGCAACTTCTCGGACACTGCGCTTGATCCTGAAGGGTGCTACACACCAGGACTGGCAGTCTTCATCGCGCGTTGGTCTGTGGGCTGTTTGTCGTGGTGCTTTCGTTGCATCCCGCATCCGCGTGTTGATTCTGATCTTGCCAGGTCTCTCTGCGTAGACCTCCAGATGTTGTCAATGGTCAGCATGGCCTAGGTGGAGAGATTTTCACAAGAAGTGAGCCGACAAACAGAGCTACGAGTAACACCGGTTCACGATCTTGCCGCTGCCCTCAGCACTTTTCGCTGTCCGAAGTACGACCTCGTTCGCCTCCATGCTTGCTTCCAGGGAATGGCGCATGCAGCTGGCACCGATAAGGCCCCAATTCAGCACCTCCAAGCTTCAAGCTGCGCTAGGCCGCTAGGTAGCATTGCAGCGACACGGCGCTTCTGCTCACATGTGCGAGACACTGTCAGAGCAAGGTTCAACTGAATGTAGCAGCTGTGCCTGAAGCAGCAGTGTGAAGACAAACATTAAGAGTGGCGGATAATGGAAATCTCCTCAGCTACACAATGTGCGATGGTTTCCGAAATCAAGACCCGTGCGTGCAACTATGCCACAGCCCCGACATTCAGCGACATCCGATGACAGTGGTACGTCTGCAACTCTTCTGCCGCGGCACTGCCGCTGAAAACATTGTAGAAGTTAAAGCCTTCATTGCAACGGCAACTGACACAGTCTCTGTAGACTCTGCGGTATAAGGCCGTAGCCTATCCAGAAGAAAGGCACCCAACACCAGAGGAAGTGCGAGAGGTTGGATACCAGGATTAGCAGCCTGGATTGCCCACTGCCAAATTGCACTGATAGGTGCAATCACGTGGGAAGGAATCAGATGAGGCCACTTCATCGAGCCTGCCCCACCATCTCATTTCATCGGGCCAGATCGATC